GATTTGGAGGACTGTACAAACTAGCATTGCAGATCATAAAGCCAAAGGAAATAGCTCAAAATAACAATAGTTTCAAATGATAACTTATTGCAACTATACCATGAACGCTTTGGTCATCAAAACAAATGACACATCAGAGATATTTTGAGTCGTGACTTTAACCTACAAGTGACTTTAGACAGCGAAATATGTGAGGGGTTGTATTCATGGTAAAAATGCACAGGAAAAAGTTTGGAATGAGAGAAGGAGCAAAGGTACCAGGAGAACTCTTACACACAGATGTTTGTGGGCCTTTTGAAAAATCCAAAAGCGGCTATAAATACTTCGTGCTCTTCAAGGATGATTTCAGTTGTTATCGTTATGTTTACTTTCTGAAAGAAAAATCTGACAATTAAGTATGTTAACTCAAGTAAAAACAGTAGGACATACAGTAAAAGAGCTACTCTCAGATAATGGTGGAGAATTTGACAATGGTCAAGTAAGAAAAATTCTACAAGAAAGTGGAATCAAACAATGACTCGTAATACCTTATACACCAGGACAAAACGGTTGTGCAAAGCGAGATAATCGTACTATCGTTGAAACTGCTAGATCCATCATGCATACTAATGAAGATCTTTCACAAATTTTTTGGGCTGAAACAATAAATACATCGGCGTACATTTCAAATAGGACTGGGAATTCTAAATTCTAATATCGAAGGAAAATCTCCATTTGAACTTTGGTATGAGAAAAAGCCTTCTCTAAAACACATAAGAATTATTGGAACATCCTGTTATGCCCATGTACCAGAGTCAGGAAGAAAGAAAATTGATAGAAAGGCATACTTATAGGATATGACCAAGATGATGGATATCGGATTTAGTGTGAAGAATCTGAGAAACTAGTGAGATCGAGAGATGTGATATTCGCCGAAAAACTCATAACTTCAACGTTGCCATTGTATTGTAGAAAAACCCTGATGGAACTTCTCAGAAAAACAATTGTAAGATTGTCAGAAGCAGGGAAGGTACTCCAGAACAAGAAACTAAAGAAAACACTGGACATGACGGCGAAGAAGATGATAGATTAGAAAATCACAGTTTTTCTGAAACTCGTTCTGACATTTCAGAAGAAGTCTCAAATGTACCGAGTAACAACTGAGAGATAGAAATCAGATACAAAAGTATGCCAGGTTTGAAGATTTTGCTATGATGGTTGCTGCAGACATTATGTAAATAAATGAGCCGTACGTACCGAGAAGCTATGTCAAGTAATAAAGCAAATGACTTGAAAATGGCTATGGGAAGAGAAATGAAATCTTTACCAATGGTAAGAACGCTATACCAAATAAATGAGTGTACAAGTTAAAATACAATTCAGATGGCTCTATAGATAAATTCAAAGCCAGACTAGTCGCAAAAGGTTATTCACAGAAGAAATATCAAGAATATGATGAGACATTTAGCCCAGTTGCTAGATTTACTACAATACAATGTTTTGGGTCTACCTGCCAGTGAAAATTTAAGTCTAAGCCAGTTTGATGTATGTACAGCATTTCTATATGGTGAGCTTCAAGAAGGAGTATACATGAAACAGCCAGAGGGTTTCAATGATGGAACAGATAGGGTTTCACATCTAAGGAAGACCCTATATGGACTTAAGCAAGTTGGAATAAGACAACGGACTTCGTTCTATTCTTTGGTTTCAAACAGAGCAATGCCGATCCATGTCTCTTCATAATGAGGGAAGGAACAGAAATTCTTATTCTAGTTTTATATGTGGACGATGGTCTACTAGCCTCAAGCAATGAGGAAATGAAAAAATATTTTCTACGACAACTACAGATAGAGTTTAAAGTCACGATAAAGCCTGCATCATATTTTTTGGATATGGAAATCATAGAGTCAAAGCATGGATCAGTTATCATAAGTCAAAATGCATATGCCAAGAAATTGTCGAAAAAATTTGGTATGAATAATTGCAGACCAATTGTTAAGGATAATTCCCCTTCAGAAAAAGCCGCAATATCAAGTTTTTCATATAGAGAAGCTGTTGAAGCATTACTTTAGCTGATGCCAGGTGCCAGGATCAAGACCAGACATGTCATCCGCAGTCATTGTGGCGTCAAGAAGTTTGGAAAATCCAACTCACGAAGACTTTGTCCAAGTTAAGAGAATTTTCCGTTACATTCAAGGAACACTCCATTATGGTATCACTTACAGGCCAAGAACCAGAAGAGGTGTCCTACAAGGTTTTAGTAATGGATCATGGAGGGGATATAAAAACAGGACGCTCCTCAACAGGAGTGGTATGTGTTTATGCTGGAGGTGCTATATCCTGGATGAGTCAGAGACAACCTTCAGTTGCCATTTGTACAACCGAACCGGAGATCGTTGCAGCTAGCGAAGCTTCAAAAGAACTTGCATGGTTAAAAAGATTATATGAAGAAATAATAACACTGAAAGAAATTCCAGAGTGATTAGTTGACAACGAAGCAGCTTTTCTTTTGGCACAAAATCCTGAGAACCACAAGAGAACCAAGTACATTCAGATTCGACAGTTCTATGTGAGAGAGCGTGTCTTAGAAAAAATTTTGAGCGTAGACAAAACGTCTACAGAAACTCAAGTTACTGATATAATGACAAAAGCCTTGTTCAAACCAAGACCATAGAGACGAAGACATGACATTTTATGTGACAATTAGGCTCTCCAAACCACGTGATTTTTCAATATGGCGAGTGTGGAAAATTTGACGTTTGTTTGTTTATCTTGAGTTTATTTGGAATATTTTGAAGCTAGTTACAGTTTACTTTGTTATTATATACTTTTTGAGATGCAGAGTGAATATTTAAAGACTTAAATGCAGGAAAATCGGGATGTGGACGAACGGTTATAGTTTGAAAAAATGTCCAGTTAACATTTTAACCCACAGTTTTCACAAATTTCACATCAATGAGTAAATGAAGGCCTACAAAAGCTTAGATTCTCACAAGTATTTTGAGACTGGCTTAATTTTAGATGCAGGAACAGTGGTAGTGAAAAATTTTCACGTTTTAATTGGGAAATTTTGAAACAGAGGGCAATGAAAAAAGCCTGACATCATCCTTGTTACCTTGTTGAAACTACTTCCACACACAAAATGCACTTTAAAAAGCTTTAAATTCCATACTCTCATATACGGGATAATGAACTTCCGCCCACAACGCACATTTTGACAGGTCGTCGGAATGCCTAATCTGGGCCTAACCAAGACTTTTAATAAGGGATCAAGGTGTGTCAGTCATAACAGGATAAAATATCAATCCATTACAATTGGATGGGATACACCGGTGCTGGATTGCTCTCCTAGATGTTGGCGACACAGAATTTTGTTTACTGTGGGCGCGTTTGGGTTGACGCTCGGCGGATCGAGCAGATCGATTACGGAGTAATGTGACGTCAAAGGGAGTACACCGTGTCAAGCCAAATAAACTTGTGCAAAAATGCTGGGTTGAGCGATCAGCTGATTATTGTTTATTTTTCTTGGCATATATTTTCTGGAGTCCGAGCCCGCATTCCGCATTTCCACCAGAATTTTCTCGTTTGTTTTGCATTTTAGTCGATAATTTTCAAACAGCCCTATGTTCTTTTGTAATCTGCAAAAAATGTCCTGCTACATAAACAATAAAACGGACCTAAACACTCTGAGGCTGCCAAGTTCCCTTGGAAAAATATGTTCAACCAGTGATGATGACTATCGAGAAAATTTAATTAAAAGTAAGCAATTATGCAGAATTTACTAGCTATTTGATTGTTAACATTTAAACAAAATAGCTAAAACTATCCACCTAACAAGTATAATATGTTAAAATTCAGGATTGTTTATTTATCTTATCATGGAAAATAGGTTAGGTTATACAGACAGATTAAACTGCGCATGCACGCTCCAGCTGCCCACCCTACAAACTCGGAGTTTATCAAGCTCGATCTGAGCGCTCAAAATATGTCGAAACCAAACACAATCAAGCGTTGTCGGAGCTTCAAAAATAACGAAAAAGAGACAAAAGTCCAAGCTCTGAGTGCACCGAGCTTGAACCCAAACGCGCCCTGTAATATCTATCTGTGTTAATATGTCATTGGTATGGAGACTTGCCTGTGCTCAAGTCGAGACTTGTACTTGCCATTGGCAGTTGGTGAATCGTCGCAAGTCAAAGGGCGCGAGTAACATATGCCAAGTAGGCAAGTCGAAGCGCTACCCTTTTTTTGAAGCCTGTCCTGAAATACGAGACCGCTTCCATATTTTTCGACAAAAAAGCTGTGTTGCCATATTTCAAATACCAAGCCAAATGGAGGTTTGGCATTTAGGGATTTTAATAATTTACAAGTTACAATAAAAATTAAGAGCAACTTCCAAACTTTCAACATTGAATCGGGCATTCCCATAAACCCTCAGGATGTCTATTCTCGAAACCAGGGAACAACGTTCTCATGAGAACGATTTCTGTGTCAGTGCTATGAAAATATAAATATGGGTGACCAAAACTGAACCTCCATTCTCATGAGAACGCTGCTCCCCTGTCTTGAGAATAAGGACCCAGGTAGGAATTATTGTAAATTTTTCTTAGGGGCGTTCTGAAATATTAGACCGTTTCACATAATGACAACCCTGTATAATATGTATTATCTACATCTACTCATTGACATCTACTTATATACAAAGTCAAAACAACATTGGGTAGACAATGATCATATAATGTTCAACTACATGTAGGTTTTTTATTTTTATACAATATGTGTTCTTGTCCCACGTATTTGATGTATTATTGCAATTTTTATAATTTATGTATATCGTGCATACTCTATAAACAATGTAAATTAGCTTTTTTTTCTAAATAAAGATCTATTTAATGCGCCTTCTAATATAACTACAAGTCAAGAGTCAAGCATAATTTTTATTAAAAACATTTACCGATACCGACTAGTTCAGTACAATGTTTCTTTAAATTGACATAAACCAAACAAATATAAAAAAATCTCACCACTTTATTATGGGGTAAAGTATGATGTCCAGGAGACATATGCACAGTTGGTCGCTCCATTTGCACGAACCCGTTGTTAGCCTGAAGATGGCGTTGCACTACTGAAGGATGATAGTGACTATTGGGCGTCGATGGGCGCGAATTTGTCGGAGTCAAGCAAATTGTTGACTGAGTGAGGCGTTGTTGCACGATTTTTTGACAAGCTGTATTCAAAATATAAAAAAATATTACTAAATTGGCATTGGAACATCATTATTCAAATCGAGACGGACCATATTTGTCGGACGATTGCGACTATTATGATTCATGGTTCACTCACCGTCTTGAAACACCCGTTCAACGTTGAGTCCGTAGGTGGCGCAGGTTTCGTAGTACGAACACCTCTTCAAATCGGTCGCTAATTTCCTCGCCCTCGAATCGTCGATTACTCTCGGATTGTTTTCGCTGATTGCATCTGAAAAATTAAGAAATAAACAGTTGGTAATCTCGATTCAATTATAATATAGTTTACCTTGAGTTCCAACAAGTATCAGTGGAATCTCAGCTGAGTTCCTGTAATGCGACATTTTCGTGTAGTAGTTGTAGATTGCATTAAATGAAGATTCGTTTTCGAGACTGAACACGAAGATGACTGCATCCACCCAAGCGGTAAACTGTAACAAAAAAAAAAAACAATGTTTTATTTTATAACTACTATAAGAATGGTTCCTATATCAAAGTAATATGTTTGATACGATATTTTCCCATGGACAAATCACATAAATAACTTTGCTGTAGCCAGACTTCTAATGCCTATAAATTTAAACTTGACGCACTTAACGCACTATAGTTCCCCTTAAAAGGAAGTAGCAAGTGAAGAAAGTAACTTTTTATTAATTGCACATGTAACCGTTTAAAGATAAAACGTTTTAGAACGTGTTAAAATGTGAATAACCATAAAAAAAACTACGAAGGAGAAAGCTCAGTGCAATTCGAATAATGAACTTGCTTGCTCGGGTACATTTTTAAGGATGAAATGTTTGAGGTAATGCACTTTTTTCTCTCAGTTCGAGACGAGGAGAAATTAGCCAAGTGGAAAGATTAATGTTGGCGGATTAATGTAAAAATAAAAGCTTTGTTTATGGGAATACGTTTTTGCCGAGGTTTGATAGGTACTACGAATCTACTTGACAAGGAAAATAAATACAAGGATTTCAGAAGAGCTTTTCCAATTTTGATTAGAATTTAGAGTAAGGAAGTGATTTATTTGAATGTTTTTTTTTTTTTTCTTTTTGATTAAATAAATACATATGTATTGTAATGATTTACTGAACTACCTTTAGAAATTAGGCTTTAATAAACAAGAATTATACACAACATTCACAATGATGAAAAACTAATGACTATGACAAATACAATATGATAATATTTAATACTGGTAATAAAAACTACATACAGAAGATATCGAAAGTACCACATTCTTCCCAGGTTTATTTTTCAACATAATCGCCAAGATATTTGGGAGAGTGTCTAGTTCTTGATCCACGACGGATCTGGTTTTCTAGTTGCGGCTCACATAGTACGAGAGACGGCTGCAGAGAATCTGTCGTCATAAGGTGGACGAGCGAAAAAAATATAAATATTAGTTGAGGCACTAATTAAGAGAATACGCGAAGGTTGCCTGCGAAAATCCTGCCGAAACAGTGTTTTTCAATTTTTTTTATTAGATGAATAATTATAGTAACTATCTTTTAGAGGTGGACATGAAATGAAATCACCATGTTGTAGGGGACCGTGAGACGAATTCAACCATATAAGGCTGCCTGCCCCCACCCTGCCGCAACACCCTGGCAGCCTGGCTAAGAAGGTCGGTTTTTTATATGATAACTATCGTCATCAGGTGGACGCATAAATTAGGTCTCAAATTAAAGGTCTCGATCTCCTCTTTCCATCAAACTAAGGCTGCCTGCTCAAATCCTGCCGAAAAGATGTGGTTGCCTCATTTAAAGTTACCGGTACCAGCGCCGCGCGCTAGGTATTTGCGGAGCGCGAGGTGTTTAGTGGCGGAAAAGTCGTCTACAAAACACCGAAACGAGTTTTTATTTTTGCTCCTTGTCACTTTGCGTTACTTCTAATATTTAAATTATCGATAAGGATCTATAAAACACGTCAGGAAAAGCATAGTTTGATATCAAGAGGAATTCAGGTCCATGATGGGGTGGGGGGTTGAGGGGTAGATGTTGATTGGTTGCTTAAAAAAAGAAAGCATGAACTTTTTTGATAAGAAACGTTTATTAAAGTACGTTCAGTTGGTGTTTATACAGTAGGTATGAGTAGATTCTTGATATATCCTGATAAATTGAACAAAAATAAAGAAATACAGAACTCAAGTTGCATATATTCCTACATTTCAAAATTTAAAAATAGTTAAACCAAATTTTTAAAAAGCCATAATTTTCACAACTGCCAAAAGCTTCAAAGAAATTTATTCTTCTATGTTTTAACAAAAAATGTTACTGCAAACTTGACTTTTTTTTATCCCATTTTGACATTTAAAAATGACATTATTCAACGCATAACAATAAAGGTAAGTAGACGTTTATCACCTCAGTGATTTAAAAACATTCTAACTTACTCTCAGCATTTTAAGTCACTCTGCCCAACTAAAAATCTGAAACCTCAGTGATTTGAAATATTTTTAACTCACTCCCGGCATTTTTCCTTCTACTTTATTTTTAAAATTTTCACAAAATGGGATAAAATTTTTTATCCCATTTTGACGTTTAAAAACGACATTATTGAACGCATAATAACAAAGGTAAGTAGAAGTTTATCACCTGAGTGACTTAAAATATTTTTATTTACGACTAATGTATAATGTGCGTATTATATTTGTGATTTTGGCAGTATAATGACATATGTTATTCCTCCAGGGATTAATGACGAGTAGCGGGATTAATGGTCATTATTCCACAAAAGTGTCAGTGTCAAACGTGTAGTGCTTGTGGATTTGTATTGAAAATTATGAGACGGATGAAATTAGTTCATTGAAAATCTCAAATAAATCAATTTGTCGTAAATAAAGTAGAGTATACTACTCGCAATAATGGCTATTATTCCCTCGGAATGTTACTCCCCTCGCCGCTAACGCGGCTCAGTTCGTAATAATCCTCGGGAATAATAGCTATCATTATTGACTCGTGGTATAATCTACTATTATTTACGAATAATGTATAATGTGCTTATTATATTTGTGATTTTGGCAGTATAATGACATATGTTATTCCTCCAGGGATTAATGACGAGTAGCGGGATTAATGGTCATTATTCCACAAAAGTGTCAGTGTCAAACGTGTAGTGCTTGTGGATTTGTATTGAAAATTATGAGACGGATGAAATTAGTTCATTGAAAATCTCAAATAAATCAATTTGTCGTAAATAAAGTAGAGTATACTACTCGCAATAATGGCTATTATTCCCTCGGAATGTTACTCCCTCGCCGCTAACGCGGCTCAGTTCGTAATAATCCTCGGGAATAATAGCTATCATTATTGACTCGTGGTATAATCTACTATTATTTACGAATAATGTATAATGTGCTTATTATATTTGTGATTTTGGCAGTATAATGACATATGTTATTCCTCCAGGGATTAATGACGAGTAGCGGGATTAATGGTCATTATTCCACAAAAGTGTCAGTGTCAAACGTGTAGTGCTTGTGGATTTGTATTGAAAATTATGAGACGGATGAAATTTGTTCATTGAAAATCTCAAATAAATTAATTTGTCGTAAATAAAGTAGAGTATACTACTCGCAATAATGGCTATTATTCCCTCGGAATGTTACTCCCTCGCCGCTAACGCGGCTCAGTTCGTAATAATCCTCGGGAATAATAGCTATCATTATTGACTCGTGGTATAATCTACTATTAACTCACTCTCGGTCTTTTAAGTCACTCTGCTAGTATAAAAATCTGCTACAAATACAAACAAACAACTAGTTATACCCTAGCAACCACCAATTTCAATAATTAGCGCTTTCATACCCACTAAATGAATTCTTTTCATAATTTAATTCCTATTAAGTACCTTATTTTTCAAATGTCTATCAAAATGGGATAAAATTTTGTATAAATCACGTGAGTTAAAATGTTTATTCATTCGAAGAATATTAACCCACTCGCCAGGGCTCGTGGGTTAAACTTTCTTCTCATGAATAAACATTCATTTAACTCACTTGGTGTATAAATAACTAGTATACATCACGTGAGTTAAAATGTTTATTCATTCGAAGAAAATTAACCCACTCGCTAGGGCTCGTGGGTTAAACTTTCTTCTCATGAATAAAAATTCATTTAACTCACTTGGTGTATAAATAACTATTAAATATTTTATATAATACCCACTCTTTCAATAGCCTTGGAAAAAGAAATAATCGTTTTCGAAAGCTCGGCCAAGCTTGCAGAATAGAGTTTTCTTCAATTGCCTAAAGACTGAATCCCTTAAATGTCAGTTTTGACAGATGTATGAAATTCTCAATTTACTATTGAGAATTTCATACATCTATCAAAACTGACATGCCAACAATAAACTGACAAGTTCTGATTGTTGATTTGAACATTCTATGATTTGAACCAATCAGGTTATGTTTACGCACTAGTGCAAATTATCGCGATACTTGCACAGTAATTGGTGTTTTGATATTTTTTGTCAAAAAAAATTAAATTTTTGATTCATGAAATTCTCTCATAAAATACAACTTGTGCAACAGAAATATATTTATAATTTTCGATAAATTTGCACCCATGCGTTTTTAACTGAAAAAGGCACTCGTGCACTACGTGCAGTCGTGCTTTTTTTTAACCAAAAGTGCATTCGGGCAAATATTCCAAAAATTATCGATAATTTACCTCTGAGATAATTTCCATTGCACTCGTTGATAATTTTCAATGCACATGACTACGACTGATAATTGAAAGTACCTACATATCTTCATTTTTTGCGATATTAATTGCGAATTTTATGTCAGCGCATGCGTATTCCAATAATGCTTTCAAGGACTGTGAAATGCCAAGTATGAAATTCAATTTCCCAAAGAAAATGTATTTTACTGTTTCTGAATGCGTCTGGCCTTTCAGTAGTCGAATACTACTCAAGAAAAAAATTTGTAGGCAATTAACTGTTTTTCTACTGACGTTTCATAATACGCTATTAAACGATTAAAATCTGTTTTATAATGAACTTCATTATGATACAGATTTTCATTATGATACAGATTCTTCAGCCACTGGAATCGAGTTATTTTGAACATGAAAAATGTTTATGTGAAAATCAGAGACTTGTTTTGGACTATTTCAATTGGTATTTATCAAAAGAAATAACAAAAAATTTATAAATCGGGTGCGGAATTTATGCCCAAATGACGTCCAGGAGTCGTATTTTCGAATATTATCGTATACGAAATTTTATACGATTTCGAATGATCCCCATTTAATTTACATTGCCGTCAGTCAAATTTCCTGTACTCGAATGGTTTCGAAAATCGCACCCTAGATCTTAATTTTCGAAATTGTCAATAGTTGTCAACAATTATTGTCACCAGTTGAGAAGTTTACTATTCTTGAAATAAATATGTATTTCGTTTATTATTGGGAGTAGAAAAAATAGTGTA